CTTAGACTTGAATTTAAGAATCTAGTTGAATCCTCAACCTAACCCCTCAGTCTAAATCCCCAATCCCTAAACCCTAATCCGCACTTTGGATGAACTGGCCCAAACTCGTCTCCACTGTTTATGTGCGTCCTTACCATTGTAGTGAAAGACTTGCTGGATGAGGGGACCGAGTGATTGCGTGAGAGTTGGAGCCGTGCCCTGCCACCAACATGTTTGCCTAGCCGGATGGAAGCACACAGCGCACGTGCTGTCTACAACAAGTTTGCATGTGCTAACTATGGATCGATTCAAAAACCTTCGCGAAGTCTGCCCACATCAACAGTTCCTGAACATGTCTCAGTCTCAGAGTCTCTGAGTCTCCGAAACTGCAACCCCTTGACTTATATGGGGGTTGTCCAATATTCCTTCATCTCGAATTGGGGGCTTGCGCCGTGTTGGCGCGGAGCTTGCGCGCGCACTGTTTGGCTCACAATGGTTTTCGCGCAGGCTTATCACACTATAAAACTAACTAATACCATGAGCGTTTTCGAGCCCTTGCGCCAACCTTGTGCCGTGCTTGCGCGGAGCTTGCGCGCGCAGGGTTTTTGACAAATTATGTTATACTTGGTTTTCGGTAATCGAAAATTGTAGAGAAGGGTTTTCGGACAACCGTTTACATCTGTGAGAGAGAAAGGGGGCTTGAAAACAAGACCTGTAAAACCTCTAGATTGACACTTACGCCCACTCTGCAACCCTCAATCCTCCAAGTAGGAGAGCATCACGTTCTTCGGAAACTTCCTCAGAACGTCCGGGATCTCCTTCATGAGCTCGCCCATGCGGGCAAGGAAGTCGCCCTGCAAGGCCTGCTTCTTCGTGGCAGAGGCGATGACACCTTTGACCCCAAGAAGCAAGGCGAAAACAAATCGACTTTCTTCTAGAAGTCAACTATGAAAGCCAAACAACTTCAAAGCTGTTCTGTTGGGCAAGAAAGGAACTGCAGTAGCTCTTTGCTGCTTTGGCTGCAAGCCGAAGCGCCTCGAGCTTGGCCTGCCGCTTCTTAACAATCTCCTGCTCCTGGTACATGTGGAGCTCCGCAGTCTCCTTGGCCTTCTTTTGCAGGGCCCTGTCGAGCTTTCCCACGTCCTGGCCGAAGGTCTTGGATGTGAGCACCTGGTCCAGGCCCTGGATCAGGGTCTCCAACTCCGTGCCCAGCTTCTCCATTTCCTCTTTGATGGTCTCCTGCGGCGTGCGCTTCCTCTTTCTGGTCTTTGCAGCGGCCGCGGGCTCCTTTGTCGACAACCCAAGCTGGAAGGCCTCCTCCTGCTCTGCATCCATGTCAGCTTTGCTTGGGCCAGGAAGCGCGCTGGCGGGGGCTTCTGAAGCAGCAGAGGACGGGATTGCGGGCCCGGTCAGCTTGTCCTTGGCCAAGGGGATGCTGCTGAGGTCGCCTCCAAATCGATCTCTCAACATGAATCCACCGCGGCTCTTGAAGCGCTTCGCATGCTGGTCCGGCCAAATCCTTTTGGTGTGAAGCGAAGCACTCTCACGCTCTCTCTTTCTCTCGCTCTGTCTCTCTCTTTCTCTCTCCTCTTCTCTTTCATGTGCACAGTGCAACGCAATCTGTGTCTCAATTAACTTTGTTAGCTTCAACCAGGATGGCTTGCGCTCTCATGTCTGTAAACTCCACGATTGTGCCTCTCACTTTTACACAGGTACATTTGCCTGCCCTGTCCATGCTACCGCTCGTGAAGTACAACCAAAGCCTGGTTCCCACAATCAAATATTGACGCTGCATGCGTCCATAGCACGAGTTCAAACTCAGCAGACAGATGATTAGGGGCAACAATTGCCGTGCCGAGACACATCAGGGCACCCTCGTCCAGGGTCCGTCTGTGAAGAACTCTGTGGAGCTCAAACACACGCTGTCGCCAGACGTCGCGTGGTCCATCCCACACCTTACTCACTGATTGTTCTAAGGAAGAACAGTAAACAGTAAACACCTGTAACACGAGTTACTTCACGGCATCACTGACTGGCATGCTACGCGCTGCGCAAGGGCGTCAGGCAAAGGATGTTCTGTAGGGGGCAGCGTCAATACAGATTCTTGGACCGTGGGGTTGAACGGGCAGTGCTAGTGGCACAGCTGCAAGATCAGGCAGCACATCAAGGATATCAACAAGAGCAGTGGAAGCAGAGCAAGGCCATCATGCAGTTTAGCAACTCGGAATCCAGTGACTTTCTTCCCTTCCGGCGTCAGGAAGTCCACCGGCTTCAGCCCGTCGTCAGTGACGGGGTCACGGCCACCAAACGTGGCCTTGTAGCTCTCGCGGGTGTAGAGCAAGGCGGCCCCAACAGGCTCCAGCTCCGTCACAGTCTCCTTGTCATGGATAATGAACCTTGGCGCTTGGGCTGTCAAACCTTTAGCTTGC